ATATTATCGTTAAATATATAGAATTTTACAACGATAAATCTAACTAAACACGCTAGGTGTACTTCCTTGCTGAATGCTTAACCTCTTGTCATCCATCTTGTCACCAGCCGCGGAAATTTAAATTCAAATATCTCTATTTTATACAGAATCATTACACTTATTGAACATCAAAATACTACGACGGGCTTGGAAAAGAAAAGGCGGATGAGAAGAACCGGCGAAGCTAGGGAGACGAAATGAGCTGTGAAGAGTATTGATAAAAAGTTCCGAGCTATGTTTGTCGGACAGTTGAGGTTCGAAAGATTTATAAACTCTCTAGAGACCGAAAGAATTAAGTAGAATTAACTAGTTAACCATCAGTTCCGTGTTTGACTCCTTTAATTACGCATTCAGTATTTTAGCGGAATATGCGGACGCATTATCGTGATAAAGGATGACATTGCTAAGAGGACGCTTTACGCGAACTTTTTCTAGCATTCTGTCCAAGCAATTGTTTACGTATTGCAGGACTTGCCCTTTGGTTTTGAAGCAACACGGTAATGTAATTAATGTATTTTGCGGAACACGGAGCAACTGTCTCTTGTCAGTGCTCCGACTTTTTGATAACGAATGAAGCTCCCTAAGCTGCAGATCCATATGCAAAATATTTCAAGCTTTACTCATTCCAATACCTAATGCAGTACGAACCCGCGGACAAGTAATTTTTGATCAGGAGCAAGTTTATTTGATTATTATTGCGAGTAGATACAACGCAATGAGCGGTATTCGACATGAAAAGTGATACGAAATGTGCGAAAGTTTATTAAGTAGATACTTGTCAGATGACAAGGAATAGATTGATATTATTTAGAGCAGATAGTAAGCGAACTGACTGTTCACCTGTTGTTGAGTGATAACCGCAGCAGATGTGCCGACCTTTCTATAAAGTGGGCCCCGGTTACATTACTCATGAGAAGAAATGCAGAAGCATAACAGTCCCGCTTCACGGCCGTCTTCTGTTAGATCGTGATACTTCTCTGGAGGAGCATGCACATTCATCCAATTGTAGACTGTTCCACAGAAGAAACGTAAATTTTAAATGTTGTGTAAACTTTGACCAAATAAAGAGAATTTCTATCTTGATAAAAAGTATTTTCTCATTAACCTTCACGTTGTCATTCGGCATTAGTGCGTGAGATAACTGAAGAATCTTATCCTTTAAACGAGCAATTCTAAATTTCGCCAAAAACAATGTTATAATAGCTCGGTCGGTAATCGGGCGGCTCCAAAACAGACGGCCGTGGTCCGTATCACGATCATTTACACACTTAATTTTTTTACTTTTTTTGATCATTTTATTTATTATTTTTTTTATTTCCAAAAAACAATGTTTTACCAAAAAAAACCAGTCCTCCAGGTACTGAATATTAAAATTGGTATGCCACACTTCTTCCTTTATAATACATATTGGTTTTAGTGTAGTTCTGATAAGCGAGGGCGTATTGGTAAGTTTAAATTAAGCACTTGGCATCCCTGATATTGAAGCGTTTCCGCTTGTTTCTGCTCAGATTGTTTCAAAAACACTTCTCGCAATCGTTGTTTAGTTTCGACCCCGATCGAAAATATGCACGAACTCCGGAGTACGTGTGTGCCTGCCCCAGCTTTGAATAATCGGTGAACGATTGTGGACTCGATACATTTATAGTTTCTACTTATTATTGACTTGTATATTTAGGCCTTGAAGGCCTGGGGGCTGAAACGTCACACGACCATAAGCTTGCCGGTTGTAAGTTTTTTTTTGTTGACGTGGGGGAAATGCCTACGCATACCCGCCCTCGCGGGGGCAAGAGCGGGTTACGTCGGACTCGCACCGACTAAACCCCCACGATGTTCCACCTAGGAGCATATCGGCAGGGCCACGGGAACGCCTGCGCACACTTCCGCGACCCTGCCGGTGCTGGCCATCTCAGCAGCCCCCTTCCGGGGATCAACTCCCCTCTCCTCCAGGTAAGGCGCGATGGAATATTCCGCGTGTCTTCCTACTCGGCCCGTTTTTCATGGCCAACGAACTCCCGCGAGTTCGCTGACCAGAAACCATGGGACTAACTTCCAAATAGCCAGTGCCAATAAATAGGAAGCATCCCAGCCCCCAGCGGCGGACGTGGTCTGTGGCCTCGCCGCTCACCACGTTTCAGCCGTGGAGGGTAGAGAGAACAGCACACCGCATTACCGACACTCCCCTCCCCCCGCGGGCCCACCACCACTGCATCAGCGGTACAGCCCCGCCGAGTCACGGAGGATAGGGAGCGCGGCCAACGCAATACCGACACTCCTCTTACCCCGCGACTCCTCCTCGGTAGCAAAAGACAGAGAGAGTCACCTCTACCACTCTCGACCTGTCCCCTGATGTCTTGAGGATGTCAAGCACGCATCCAGAGCTGGCTCAATTTAGTCCACTCAGAGTCGCCCTCTCGAGCCAACCTTACACCACAGGCCGGCCCAGTGTGGGTTCCTCTTAGCTTCTCCGTGGGTGACCAAGCCACGGCTACAGAGCCTCTCCGCCATGTCAAGGCGGGAACCCGGTCGAAGGGGGCCGGTTGTAAGTCTATTCAATCGTTTGTTGCTGATTTCTGTCTCGAATGTCACAACAAGACTCAAAAGGATTTGGTGAAGCTTAGATCGTCTATTCGTAGGTCCTTAATTGTTGTAGGGCCACGCAACAGTGTTCACTGTTACACGAATGGGCAGGTCCGTCCGGGTATGTACCACGACCTCACAGAAGACCGGCGTAAAGTAGATGTGTTGCACTTCTGCGTTTCGTCTGGTGAGTGAGGTAGCCGGGGTCCACTGTATTTAAAGGTGGCGACGCATTCGCAATTACGTATTATAGAAAATCAAATGGTTGAAAAAATCTTGTAATAGCTCTGCATTTCTGGATGCTCTGGCATGTTTTTTATTATTTTCTAATGTAAACATCATCGAAGCATTCTGTTGTAAAATCAAAAATATGAGATTATTACAAAAAACATGTCTTATATGTGTATAGAAAATTAGGTCCACAAATGTCAGTTGAATGCACGTTGGTAATCTATTTCTTAATTTTTTCTCTTCTACCCCTAATGTAGGATAAGATTATCCTGCATAGTAGAGGCGTTTTACAAACACAGATAAAAACTAAAACCAACACCCAGATCCAGTATCAGTTCCGTATCAGTAGGTCATATAAATATTTGTCCCGGGTAGGAAAGGGACCCATGACCTGCGGCGATTAAGTCTGCGATAGAGTGGTGACTTTGTAAAATTTCCAACGTTCATGTTATCGCCTGCTAAAGGGGTTCGTTTATTTAGAAGAAACTGTATGAAATATGTTTCTAGAAATTACTTATCAGGTCATAGACGTAAGATGCATAATTCACTTATGTGTGCGTGGGTCATCTTTTACTTAATCAACTACGCGTAGGAGTGAACCTTGGTATCGCTCTGCTAACAAATACTATAAATGTTTAGGAGATAATATTAAATTCTAAATATTATATTCCGTTCTGCTGTTTAACTTTTATGAACACGTGAAGCCTACAGTTAACCCATTTTAAGATATACGGCAGGTTTCAATATTCTATCTACAGATAGATTTGGTTACTGGAGATAGAATTGTCACGTAAGCGTTGTCGAGCTAATTAATGTCAAATACCTATCGCTAGTAGACAGAATATTGAAACCGGCCGTCAGTGAACAAAAATAACTATCATTGGTTATATTTCTTTAAAAAAACATAAACAGAAAACTCTGATTTAGAAATAAATAAATGACAATTTTCAATAACTTCAATTTTTAACCTGTTATTAGCTTTTGTATTTTGAACCCAAATAAACATCACTTTTTCTTTTTAATTATTATCGGAAGAGATGGCCAATAAGCTCTACACTAATCTCCAAGGTAGAAGTGGTTAGTAATAACAAAGTTCATTAACACTTATCTCTACCATTTAAATATCAGTTACAGCTTAGTAGTTTTAGTAGTATCTCAGTTCAGTGTTATTTTTCAAGAAAGGAATTTATTTCCTCTAGTACATATACGTGTTCTATATTATTTACTTTTACGTTGATGGATATATTGTGGACGCTGATCATTACCCTTTTGCATTCATTTCTGAGCCCACTTTTAAACTCTCCTGGTCCAGTGAGTTTACCATTTACTGTGAAGCTGAGCTGGTTCTGTCACCAAAATAATTTTAGTGATAGTGGAACTTTATATTTGTATTACAAGCGACTATTAAGAGAACTGTCCATTTTGGCTTCTGTAATCGATAAACAGTTTTAGCTGGACCTCAACTTTATTACTATATATTAACAGTCTATTTAAACAAAAAGTAATTTGCCTTGGTGATTTTGCACTATATTATTGTTCATCCAAATCATCATCATATTATTTTATTAATACGGCCATTGCATTGCTTATAACAACTGTAACTACGAATTCACTAATACAGTAAAAGTAGCACAAGGTACGTTGATAAACCTTTTATTCATTTTGTTTAATAATTCAATGGAAGTAAAACTAATAAACTTTTTTAATACATTGCCCTCACCTTAGGATAACTTTATCCTTTGTTGTAAGGACTTTTTACAACTATCTGTGGGTCACTCAAATATTTGTCCCGTGTGGAAATCGAACCCCCGACCCCCGACGCCGAAGCCAATACCTTGGCAACTGCGATACGGAGTCCTCAACTCTTGTAAAAAATTCATTTGCTTAAACGACTTTTCTCCCCTCTTCTTTATTCCACACATCAGCCCACCTTTCCGTTTTATAATTCAAAAGTCCCAAACTCTACATTTATGTTGTAACATTATCTTCGAGGGCCACAAAATCGTATAATAATTGCTGGCACTTCAGCTCGCTCTACGTATATTCAACGTTGTCATTTGAACAAAGTTGCAGGGATTCAGCGATGCGGTAACGTAGGCGTAGTTGAACTTACGTCACAAATCATGCCGATAAATATGCTCTCGTAACACTTATATATGTATATCTGAAAGATAAAACGAGTAGATTGACAACGGTTGATTTCTGTATCATGCTCTGGTTTAATTTATTACCTGTTTTACTTTGTACTTATCTGTACAAAGCAGAATACTTGGAGTACAAATAAATTATTCATGTCTTTTCTCTTACCGGTGTGGAACAATTTATGAGTACGCCTGGTCTCTATCTCTGCACGCTCGTACGCTCGTCTAACGCCTCTTCTATCAACCGTCCCTATTTTAATTAACTATTTAATTATTTCCATTATAATGATTTAATGCTAGCCTCTAATAATTTGTCACCTTAATTTGTCGAAACTAGCAATTAGTTGATAAGAATACTTCTAAGTAATTTAGAGTGAGTATAATGGCCATTTCCATAAATACGTGTTCAGTTGATTTTATATGCGTTATATTTTAGAGTTTACTTCCATCCAAATGGGAAGCTTTAAATTAATTTAGAACCACCTTAGCTCTATCCCAACCTGTGTCGGAATGTTCACAGCTTAGGTAATGAAATAAAATAAAAGTATGAACAAAATTTTTGTTCTTTTTCTACGTAACATCTATATAGCTCTATACATATTTAATCCACTCTTTCCAGCTTTTTAAGCATCTATATCGATCTAACAAGATTTTTTAAGTAATTTCCCACAACTTCGATTTTTTACTACTAAGAAGGTTTGTCATATGTTCGCAGAAAGACGAAAGTCCAAAGATGCCAAATCGCGAATAAAAGTTACATAGTAATTTTCTGCGTGATAGATGTTCGTAACAAACATAACCGATATAGCTATTACGGTCGACGAAATTTGACAAAATCAAAAAAAAAAATATCATATGGATCAATGGAATGTAAATTATGTGAACATCAATGGAAAGTAAATTTGAAAATTACGTATTAGTAACGTAAAAGTTTCGAATCTAATACTTTAACAAACAAATTATTCACATTCCTGGTCCGAATCTTGGGTTAGTAACAACAGTATGTGATAATCATTTCCATACCGCCGGTCCATTAGGGTTAACGAAAAACAGGATACCTATCTGGAGGAGAACTATCTGCTAATAAATCTGCTCACAAGGCATACGTTTTATTACTTTCTTGGAAGTCTCGTCAAATATGTTCTCATGTTATAATCATTTGAATCTTATCCTCATTTATCACCTAATAGAAAAAAATACACGCTAATTTGCGAGCAATTTTCCTTTCGACAATACTTACCGTTACGATGATTAGGGTCGGCTTACAAATTGCCAAATTGTTGAGTCTGCGAGTACTTTACAGTTCGGGGGCACAGTTAGCGCGGTCGAAACAAAGGCGTTCTGCTCAATTGTGCGGCTGTCACAGTACGCTGGGTGTGTGCTAGGGTTGCCATGGAAATGTGGTAAAAATTACAGACTATCCCGAAAATATTATTCGAAAAATTTATGCCGAAAATAAAAAAAACTTCCGTACAACACAGGATAATGTTATCCTAAAGTCAGGGCAATGTTTTTTTTTTAAAGACACTTTCCTCAATACAGAGTTTTTACGCAGTTAGGACGGGTATTATACATTAATAATATGCAATATCTGTAAAAAGAAAAAGGCAAAAAGTAAAAAGAAAAAGAAAAGTACAATGAGAGAAGACTTCAAATATCTAGAAAGTTTAATAGCTGCTTTTTTTCTTGTTTATATATCCGTTGCCGATTTAGACATCGACAACATAAATAAAACGCATGCATCCCAAAATGCATAAATATACCATTCTTCTGCAAAAAATTACCGGATACCATATCCGGTGATTTTTCCCGCATGTTCATTTCGACTCGGCATTTGTGGTCACCCTTGCCGGCTCCTGCCCGCGGCCGCTCCTCTGTCACGCTGTCTGCACACGTTAATGGCACGCAGCGTGCGGCCAGCCTTCCTCCAGCGATGTCTGGTTTATACAACGGCTCTATAGTACTTGGTAAAGATGATACTACCGATAGTGAATTTGAAACAAGAAACGTTGTTAGGGAGCTAGTGTTTAAGTATTCTAGACCTTTATAGGTATTTCGTCGTTATGTTTTAATAGCAGTGGCGTGCATTAAGTGGTAACATAATTTTTCGTGTTTTGGGTCCTTTGTGGTCCTTTTTATTTGTTTATTATCTGAGGGACATGAAAATATTACAGTTTACGAAATTTAAGATTTTCGCACTTTTAAAACACTTAAGCATAATTTCTGTTGCCTATATCTTAGTATGATAGAGATTTCCTCGCATATTAAATTCAACAGAATGAGAGTTTTTCTCAATGGTGATAATTTTATAAGAGCCACTTTTTATCTCTCGATTAAGTTGGCTAGGTTCTCCTGTTACGTTCTGTACCTTACCTATTACCTTTCCTAGACTAGTCTGAATTGGTAAATTAATAGATAGACGACGATATTTTTAAATGTGTGAAATAAACTCAATGTTAATAAAATATTTTAACTTTGACTTTCAGGTCCTAGATGCGCCAATTGAATATGTTAAGATCAGATTGATTGTATTAAGACAGGGGATTTACTGTTAGTTTATGGAGTTATATTGTTCTATAAAAGTGGACAGTTTGATGAGCCTGTGGGGCAGTAGCCAAAGTATCGGCTGCGACGCCGGGGCCATGGGCTCGAATCCCATACGGATAAGTATCTGTGTGACCTATAGATAATTGTCAGGATCTAGGTGTTTATCCAGGTGAAATTTGAGTATGTAAAATGTCTTACAAACGGGATTTTTTTTATTTTTTTTTTTGAACTGGCCAGCACTTGACTGCCATCCCACCTGATGGTAAGTGGCGATGCAGCCTTTGATGGAAAGCACGCTAGCTCAGTAAAAACCTATTCACTCTTACCTTGAAGACGCCTAGGTCGTAATCGGACGGAAAGACGGACGCCGGCAGGTTGTTTCATTCCTTAGCTGTACGGATGGAAAATGACGAATAATGTTATCCTACAGCAAAGTTTACAGAAATGTTTAAAGAACAAAGAAGGAAAGCGATATTCTCTGCTACGTGTACGTACAGTGTGTTGTATCTACTTGCAAATGATTTTGTAAACATATTAAGTAGCATTTCATTTAAAATCACATATGGTAACCTAATCGATCGTAAATTGTAAGCACCGTTGTTGAATGGAATTTTAAGACCTTAAACGTTTAGCCTACGCAGCTAAATTCCCAATCCCACGTCTACTCATATCTGACATTTGAACACAGCGTGTGTGAAAAGGTCTAATGTTTTTTTCCATTTTCGATCAAGAGTCGCTGATTGGAAATCGTTCAAAGAAACAACTGTACCAATGGTTTGAACATTGAACTCGTAATATCGAAAAAATCGCTTTAGCGCCCTCTACAAGGATCAAGGAACCGAGAGCTGATGGTATCTATGATATTAAAATATTACTTAAAACGAATCGATTACAAGCGTGAAGGAAATGCTTATACACATAATCCTTTGGTGTTAAAGTTTATTTCACTTGGAATCAAATGAAATTAACCATTCGTCGGGCGTACTAAAGCGCTTCTGGTACGAGAATCGGGCATTCTGGGAATCATTAACTTTTAATTTCCCTTCGTCGCTCTTTTCGTCTTTGCGTGATGCATTTATTGATTTTTTAGGAGGGATCCTCGTTCGTTCACGTCATGTTTGACGTCGTTGACCTTACTAAATTCAATTCTATATATCGTTTCTTATTGAGCTAGCACAAAATTAGATTATTCAACTTTGTAACGATTCATCTGTGTAAAAGCGCAATATATAGTAGTAAAGTAACAGCCTATACATGTCCCACTGCTGGGCAAAGGCCTCCTCTATACAGAGGTAATCAGGGCATAGTCCACAACGCGGCCCCACTGCGGATTGGCGGACTTCACATATCTTCGAAATATTTTTTTTGTTATTATTTCGAAAATAAGCAGGTTTCCTCACGATGTTTCCTTCACCGCGGAGCATGTGATAATTCAGCACTTAAAGTTAAAAACTTCATTGGTGCCGGCACCGGGGATCGAACTCAGGTTGCTCGAGTATATTGAATTAAAGGCGAGCGCCCGGACACTGAGCTATCACGGCTCGTGATGACCTTCTAAAAGCGGAGTCGGAGTTTATTTCTTTCACCAATAACAAAAAATAATTGGTACGAGACTAAGAGGGTATAATTATTCACCCTTTCTTCCTTCTCTACTCTCCCGAAACTGAGTTATGAATGTTTTGATTGAAACTATTTATAAATACTTGTATTTTTGTTGAATATAGAAGGCTTGAACTACGGAACTCTAATGTAGTTTATTCTCTTAGCAGATTTTAAAGTTTTTTATAGTGCTAATCTCTTTTCTACATGTTTTAATGTTCACTCTTAGCAGATATTAGCTACCATATCTCGACATGGGCATTTCCTTAGGTCGGTCATCGATACCAGGGACAGTGCCTTTAGCAAGGCCGTCAGCCACCGTGTTGAGTTACGGTAGCGTTTTTTATAGGTTACCACTAGAACTGGTTGTTTGGAATGTTACGCGCAGTGCACACTATACAGTGGGACGTCGTTTGTGAAACGTTTTTCCAATGACTTATTTTTCTTTCATTTCGCTTGATAAAGCAGTTTTGCAAGTTCCTTATTCTTCCAGTAAGGTTATACATTTTTATAACCTAACTTGAAGAATATTAAGTTGATTTTGGATTTAAGGATGCAGTGTTTTTTCCAGCTGTTAACTATTATAACGTTGTATATTATCATTAAGTTACTAACTAGATCTTTGTAACTTAATAGCATATATATATAATAACAAACATAGCAAAATTAATTTTATTATCGTTGTTGTATGAGGAACATGAGTTATAGAAACACATTATAATACACTAGCGACCCACCCCGGCTTCGCTTGGGTGCAACGTATTACACATATAAACCTTCCTCTTGAATCACTCTATCTAGTAAAAAAAAACCGCATCAAGATCCGTTGCGTTGTTTTAAAGATCTAGGCATACATAGGAACAGACAGACAGCGGGACGACTTTGTTTTATACTACATATGTAGTGATATTATTTCTTAGTTGCTTATATATGTTGCGTTGACTATGAAATAAAAAATTATAAATTTAAAAGATTTATAACAATATATCAAAGTTAATTGTAGTAAGCCCATTAGCACTAGTTAAGCAATGAGAATTATTCCCTAAAGCGTTCTGAACAGGTTTTTTAAGTTATACTTTTAAGTTATAATCCTAAAGTCCCTGGGCTAAGGATCCAGAATACTGACCAATATATTTTGTACTATTTTCTGAAATATCACTACAATTTCATTACTAAATATTTTCAAATATAATTTACTCTAGTGCTCAGTGTTTGAAACAAACATTATATTGTTTTTTTATGTCGGTGGCAACACCGGCTTCTTCCTATTCTCTCTATTTCTAAAACTTAGTAACGATATCTGTTTGAATGTTTTCTTTATTTGAATTTAAAAAATATGCGCTCGAACGTGACGTGAATATCGCTGCGTGTGACCGGGCAGCGTTATATGGATCGCTGTTTTCCCGCGCTTTTTGCGCGTCAAACGCGAGTGCGACGCGCGGACCGGTTGGGCGTGGGAATAATCCTTCGGTAATGTCCGCGGCATGCAAATGCCAGACTCTGCAGCCCAGCGGGTGCTGTCAATTTGGCACAGAACATGTTACGGGCCGAGTAGACTAGATTTGTGGTATGTATCGACGCTAATCAGAACGTTAACCTCTTCAATTAACGATCGCATCGGTCCAAGCTTTACCGAGATAATTACCGGTTGATGTAATTACGGCATAATGCTGATACGTAATTATGTTGATATGTTATTAAGCTACAATGCCGTGCGTATTTGAGGATATTTTGATATGGTTTGTTTCATTTTAGTCAGTTTTATAGTTTTTCTGATTTTGACGCTATTTAGCATAACTTGATCGTATCTATTATAAATATCCTAATTAATATCATTACATGATGTGCAATTTGTATGCCGAACGTGTAAGTGTGTAATTTATAACTTATATAACTTTATAACTAATAATTGCATTCAGATGTTAAGATGTTTCTTAGGATTCCGTAGCCAAAAAGTAAAACAGGACCCTAACACTGCGCTGTCTGTCTGCCTATCCGTCTATCACCAGGTAGGTAGGTATCTATTGAAATTTAGGCTCATATACAACAGACATGATTGTTTTGCTGTTATAGATGATGGTACGCAGTGCTTAATGCGTGAGTCCGACCCGTAATTAGTCGGTTTTTTATTATTTGATCACGGTTAGGCCGTCAACAATATGTTAATGTAATAATTAATTAATCTTGTATAATTTAAAATTATTCTCCGCTGTATTTAGTGCGTCAAAGCAGTAGGCGCCATTTGCTGAAAGCTTTACGAGTTATGAAGAAACATAGTGTTCTATTTCAGCTCTTAGCTCTTGACTTAGGGTTGGCATCGTCGGTAACAGCGTAAGGTATACCATAATATTTACAGTCTAAAATTGACTTAATCACTCCGATCTGTAATAAAGTCTATATTTAGTTCGCTAATATGGGTAGGTTCGATCCCTACTAGTGTAAAAATAATTTCGTCTTCTGGTGTCTGGATTTAAATTTTTATAGTGCTTATCTTCTGCACTTATGTTGGAACATTAAAATTTGTAGAAAAAACTACGATAAGTTTTTCGCCACTGTGGGAATCGAACCCACATCTTCGGGATTCGTGCCCTGACGCTTAAATAATAAGCTAAACGGCCGATTGCCACATCGATGAAAATCTCAATGGTGTTTTATTAAACTGTATACTTTATATATTAAACTGATACCTTGCATCTGCCTGTATATGTCCCACCGCTGGGCAAGGGCCTCTTCTGTACAGAGGGTATCAGTTGTTGTTGTTATTTCGAAAATATGCAGGTTATCTCGAGATACTTTTTCACCGCTGAGCATGTGATAATTCAGCGCTAATTATTAGTAATTAGAAAATTAACAATTTCAATGGTGCCGGCACCGGGGATTGAACTCAGGTTGCTCTAGTACATTGAATTAAATGCGAGCGCGCGGACACTGAGTTATCACGGCTCTATATTATAGCTATCGAGTATAAATACTTCCATTTTATACTAGTCTACTATTAGCCCGTGGTATTGCTCAGGATATGCCAAAGGCGTAAGTTAACGTGTTGTCAATTTATAGAATAAGGCAAAACGTTTAGTCAAACAGCGCAAGGCCGTACGATAACAGAAATCGCTCCTAACTCTGACTCATATGGCGCGTGTGTTTAGTTCCGTCGCGGAAACTTATTGAGTCACGAGTCATTGTGCCAGTCGAAATAACGCCCATAAATTGACACGGGTCCGAAGATTGAACGCGCAATCGACACGTCCACGGAATTGTCAATTCACGTTAAATGAGCGACGGTGGCCGTATTGTACATCAAATGTAGAAGCATACTAATTAGGTTTAGGCGCCACGAGACATGACTTCGTTTTGGTGGCAAAAGTAGCCGTAGTTTTTCCTGATACAAGCTGGCATGTTCGTGCCACGGTAGATGATAGTGCGTGGCTTCATATTAAAAGTAAAGTATATTTCTTCCTTCCCTGTATAGTGGGTATTAGGGCATAACGAACATGCTATCCCACTACGGATGGCAGCCTTAATATATCTTCGAAATATTTCTCGCTATAATTTCGAAAATATGCAGCTTTCCTCCAGATGTTAATTGGGATAAAGGGAAAATCCCAATTAACAAAGGTCGGATGGACCGCATGTAATAGTCAAAGTCAAAGCCAAACTTTCTTTATTCAAAATAGGCTTATTTTAAGCTCTTATTATAACACAAAACTATTTATTTAACCAACATTTACATTATTAAATCTATTTAAATAATACATTAAACCTAATCCACGCGGCATGGTGCCTAGCTCTTATTGAACGTCAAAAACTACCACCGCTTCTAAATCTTCGAGAAATCCATGCGTGTATAACTCTTTACCTTCAAATTTCGCCCGTGCGAATTGGAACGAACAGTAAACTCTTGTGTGATGTCGAATGCTACCGAGCTGTTGGGCATGGTCGAACTATCACGCTCAACATCCTCAAGATGGGATTCGCAAATATCGACGCCGCGGGACGCGATTCAATGGCCCACACATGGTGCGGTTTGGCTCGGCGGGCTAGGACAGGGCGGACTTTGACGCCCGCATAAAGGTCTGTTCTCCTTAAGCAGCGAGCTGGAATCGGAGTCGGTTTATGTGAAAAGTTCTTGGAGCGAATCATCTGATGTACTACACGTTTAAACTTCAGAACAGAGCGAAAATAAATGTGTATGTTGAACATCAAACATCTCAGTCATTCCCGTGAAGGTATGAAGAGTTTTCGCAATGTCGTGTATATTAAAATAAATATTTATTTGTTTCTTTGCTGAAGGAACCATTCCATATCATTCATGTAACCTCCATGTTGGTAAATAATTAAAAGGTTTAACACTAAAATATTTGAGGTTAGCTGCAAAGAAATGCTGATGAATTGACTGAGATTAGTTTTTTTCGTAAAAATATGATAGTGGTAAACTTATAAAAAGATGTACGTAATAAGCGTATAATAGTGAATCCACATTTCAGTTTTTTTTTTACTTGGGATGTAAACAGAATTTTTATAGACCACAAACAGAGGCAATTTTCTTCATCAAAACAAATGGTAGGCACATTGCGTGACACGGTTTGAAAATTGTTTCCTTGTAACTCAATGACTACTTCAAGAAACATCTTGCATAATCATCTACTTAGTAATGACGGTTTTAGAGACTGAAACCTCTGTCTTATTTTCAATTGTTGCAAAAAATGTTCCAAGGTAATTTGTAATCATTAAATGATGTTAGCTTTTTTTGTGCTAATGTAAATTTTTATACACTCCTTTGTTTAGTATTTATAGTACGTTTGTGTGCATTTTAAGTGTGCGCCCGTGTATTTTAAGCTTTTATTACCAGGGACTTAAAAAGGGGTGAGTTCTATACTGGAATATAAACAGCAACCCCTGAGATTTTTACGCCGCTGAAGCGGGTGCCACATTGCCGCCAAAGGCGAGCGGAAGTGCGCCGCCGGAAGCGACGCTATATTGCCATCCGCCTGTAACCCGAACACGCAGGAACTGAAAATCGAATGAACGTAACGTAACGTTTGGACACACGACACGTAAATGTAAAAACGGTCGCCGCTTTTGAAACCCGAAACTACGAGATGATGAACCGCCTAATTACCCTAATTACGCGGACTTCCCGCGTGCCGTTACTGAATTCTCATACGTTTCATGAATATTTTAGGACGATACAATATTCATTGGTATACGGGGCAGAGGAAAGGAGAAAGATATTTTGATCTTGGCATATATGTACAAAACAAAGTGAAGACGTACAGAGTTTGGTAAAATTTAGAAGCATAGAAAAAATCTATTAAAAATAACAAAAGCCGGCCAAGTTCGAGTCGGCCTCGCGCACGTACGGTACCCACCGTAGCGTTATCTATAAAAATGGCTAAAAAGTCATGTCTGTTGTGTATGGGAGCCCTACTTAAATATTTTTTTATTCTGTTTTTTAGTATTTGTTGTTATAGTGGCAACGGATATACATCATCTGTGAAAATTACAACTGTCTGACAGACGGACAGACAGCGGAGTCTTAGTTAGGTGCCCGTTTTATCCCTTGGCTATGGAGCCCTAAAAGTTACTACGTATCAAAAGATTTTTTACGTCTACTTTTATACATGTACTTATTTTTTATGCACGAAAAAAAATGTAAAAAACGTGTTTAAAACCATCAGCACTTTTTCCAAAGCAACGTTGAGGTGGCCTAGAGGAGTTAAGGTAACTGTACATATTATAACATAAGTGCAAGCTTTTAATTTAGATCACTCATTATAATATACACCTTTTCATAATCAGCCCTAGCTAGTAATGTTAACAGTGACATTATACTGAACTTAAAAACTAACACGACAGAACCCAAAATTGGGTTTATTATAATTCGTAGTCTTCGCGTAGTAAATACGACATCATTGTGTAAATTACCCAGTGTACAATTTCGGTGTTTCGTCTTCAATTGTGACAATAAACGTTTTCGGCGATTACCCTTGCCGTTTGACTAATTAATATTAATCAAACGTCGTTTGTCACGGTCGAACTAACGTTAAAGTTAAATTTGTTTAATGGTTAAAACGTTTTAAAAGTCCAAGCCTTTTTGTTGAAAACATATTACGCGGTAGGTGAAACAATGGCGGACATAATATGTTACTAGGCAGATTAATCAAAATGTCGGGCGCCATTTTGATTTATAACAGTGTATGCGCGCTTCTAATTTGGCGTTTAAAAGGTTTTAGTTATGAAGGTGGTGGTAAATGAACAAACCAGAGCTGAGGGTAAGTGTTCAGCGTCGATGGCTGACCTTCCGCACTAGAGTACACTGAACAAAACTGTTCCTGCGTTTAAGGGAGGAATAGGCTCTCTTTTCAAAGGCTCCTAAGTCGTGTCGGTCGCGAAATAACGGAAGTTTTTACTATTGACTTATACTAAGCCTCACTAATAATTAGTTGATCATGGAAATTGATATAAATGTACCGATGTTAAGGTAAA